TTCCTAAAGCCAACACCTTTTAATTAACAAAATACTCAGAGCAGGCTGTGGTTTGCAATAGTACATTATACCTACTGTTATCCATGCTACTATTTCAAGTGTGCCAAATTCAATTCATTTCAGCTATTTTGAGCTTGACTTCCATTGTTTAAAAATGGAAGGAAAAAAACCACAATTTTTGGTAGAGTCATTTTATTTTTCTAATGAATGTATAAGAAAGACATTATGCTACTATCATCCATAGTCGGGCTATAAGAGGCTCTCTCTCTCTCTCTCTCTCTCTCTCTCTCTCTCTCTCTTTCTCTCTGCGCGCACGCACACACACACACCACACCGTGTCTATCTGTGTATCTATCTGTCCATCTATCTATCCACCTACCTACCTATCTATCCATCTGGCTTAATTGTATACATTTTAATACATGTAGTTCTGGCATGCAGTGATTGAGCAGGAAAGATGCCAGCATCTGTTGCTGGAGGGACGGTTAATAGAATGACACCAGAAAGACTATTTTCATTCACGACACTAGGCAGGAAGAGATGCTTCCTCAACAGACTTAAGAATATCTTGGTCTCTGAGGTGGATTAAAGAGGCTGAGATCTGAAGCAGCCAATCCCAGGTCTGCCTCCTTGTGACCCCAGATAGGCACCTAAGGCAAAGGACAGATGTACAGCCAAGATAGTCAGACTGAGGGAGGATTAAATGGCACAGGGAGAAAAGGACCCCACCAGCTGCAGGGGAAGCCATTTCCCATGCTCCTTAGGGAAGAGAACTGGAGACACGTCCCAGAACATCAAGTTGAAAATTCTGTGTAGCAGTTGATGTATCCTAACTTCTTACTTGATCAAGATTATGGGTTCAGACACTCTCAACAAATCCTCTTTCACTCTTAAAATATCGAGTTAACAGAAAACACCCTTACAACAACCACTTATCCCTGCCTGACACTTAGAGTCAAGAATCTGTTGCTCAGAATGTGCAAAACCACTGTAACTGACCCCTTACAGATCTGACCAACCTACATTTTGCATTTTTTGATGCTTTTATCTTTATCTAAAAAAATGATGTTCTTTTTTCCCCATTGTATCATGTTTTTAGAAACATATGCAAATCACCTCATTAGATAAAGTGTGAGTCAGTATGGTACACATAATAAAATAAGATAAATGTTCCCAAGACCTCAGAGCTTCTCTTTTGAAACACTTTGCTTAACAAAAAAGAAAAAAATACATACACGCATGAATGTAGAGGTAAGTCTTTTTAGGAAAAATAAGATATTTTTAAATAGTATTTTTCTGAATAGAATTGGCTATAATAAAATTTGTGAAATAGATGAAGATTAGTCTCTTTTTACTTTATGTTATAAAGTATACTACTTGGGACCCAGTTTCTGACTTTAGAATCCAGCTCTTAATTATTATCAGCTACCCTCTAGATACATGCAAAACAAAAACAAAAACCTAGTAGTGGTACAAAATTTTGTTCTTCAAAGTGACAATTAGATTTAAGTAAAAATGTTAAAGACTACAAAGTGTTTAGGACCCAATTCTGTTCCTCATGGAGACATTTTAGTTACACACTTATCCTGGTTCTCCAAAACTCACAGAAATTTAGAGTTGAGATTTGAAGAGGAAATGGAATTTTGTCTGGAGAAATGAGAGAAAGGTTTTTGAAAAGTATAGAGAGCATATGAAAGGACACAAGAGTATGAAATGGCCTGTGCTAATTGGAGAATGCCGAATAGAGACTGAAGTGAGGGGGAGTCTGGGGAGAATGGAGGGAGAGGAAGCTGGAGTGTGGAGTCTGGTTCAGAGTACAGAGCCTAGAATGCCACACTAATGTAGAAAATGAGCCAGTAAACATTGTGTGAGTAGCAAAGTAAAAAGGAGAAGAAAAAAAACCCATATAATGTACCTATTAACTGTCAAAACAACACTAGGAGGTGACTTACATATATCATGTCATAAAATCCTTACAGCAATTCCATGAGATTGGGACTATTTTTGCCATTACATAGGTGAAGACTGAGGCTCAGAGATGTTCAGTTCAGTAAGCATGGTATAATCCCTTACCTCAAGATGCCTGCAGTCTCAGGGTAGATTACTTGTCCAAGATTGTATACCTAGGAAATAGTAAGGCCAATTGTCTCTGAAAGAAGTACTATTATAATTGCCATTTTACAGAGGAGTAAATGGAGATTCAGAGAGGTTAAGTAACCTGCCTAAATTTACAGAGGTAAGAAATGGCAGAGCAAGAATTCAAATCCAACAATTTGGCCCTGGAAAGTCTATTTTACATTCTGTTTCATGATCCAGGGTTCTTTCCAGCTTTTGCTCCTTTGATAGAAAAGTGTACTTGGGGGGTTGAAGGGAAAAACAAGTGAATTGGCTGGCTCTATTTTCTTCCTTTAATATTTGACCTCTCATTGTCTGGCCCAATCAGTGACTCTCCATTGTGAAAATAGCTAAAATGACCTAAATAGCAAGAGCCTAGGCATGTTCTGTGTGCTAGCCTTCAAGAAACCGTTCTTACAGGTTGTTACTCACCATGGGTAGAAGGCCTCTAAAAAGGTTTACTAAAAAGTTTCCTATGTATAGACTTTTTTTGTTTGTTTCATTCCTTTATTCAGAGGACATCAATTGAGCACCTACTATATTTCAGGACCTGTGTGAGATGCACGGAACAGAGCAGTGAGCAAGACATTCAGTTTTCCCTCCCTTTCCTAGAGTAGAGATGTTCTCAGAAGGTGAATGCTGGAGGAGAGGAGAGCAGCAATGAACAGCCCAACTGATCTACAGGCGAGATCATGCACAGATGGCTGTCTCAACTCTCAATCTGCTTCACGTGATTTTTCTTTTTCTCCTCCCCCCCCCCTTTTTTTTTTTTTTTGGTGATCCTTTTTTCCTCATAGGAGAATTTTATGATATTATCATCCCAATGTCATATTTGTACTTTTTAGTCATTTTGAATGTTTTTGAATCTCAGGCCTTTCGATAGACTTTCTTTTTTCAAAAATATTTTCCAGAAATACTTTGCGCATTGAATTCTCTGCATTCTCATCTTTCACTGTATTGAAATTTAGGATGATATGATCATTTCTACTTCATTAAGTACTTCTTCTTTGTTGGTCAAAAGTAAATCTATAGAGGAAAAAAAATCTCTGCTCTCATTTGAGGGTCAAATTTTCAATAGGTCAAGTTAAAAAAAAAATTGTCTGACACTTCCCATAGACTTAAAACCCTCCCACACTGCTGTATGTTGCCTCAGTATACATTGTGTATCTTTTTTTTTTTTTTTTTTTTGTCCTTTTTGAGACCGGCCGCACCGCGCTCAGCCAGTGAGCACTGTGAGTGCACTGGCCATCCCTATATAGGATCCGAACCCACGGCGGGAGCGCTGCTGTGCTCCCAGCACTGCACTCTCCTGAGTGCGCCACGGGCTCGGCCCCATTGTATATCATTTTTAAGAACAGTCTCTGTTTTCCAGTCAGGCAGGCCCCCTGCTAATTAATTTAGCTCTCTTTTCATCCCTTTTAAGATTTGTAGATCTTATTTGCTCCCATGCTTCCTTCTGGACCCGAGATGCTGTTTCTGCTTCAGATTATGTTTCATTCTTTCTAGAAAGAGCCTCAGAGTAGTGAGATAGCTTCAAGAAACCAAATTTCTTCGTTATTGCCTTGGTATTATGGTCTTTCTGTCATTACTTGTGGACATTAGTTTTTATTCTGACACCTCAAACCCTTTTTTTCTTTCTTCCTTGTTCAAGAGTAGTTCTTCCATCTGCAGGAACCTCTTGGCGTACCTGAGAAGCTTGAGTGAGGAGAAGCATTCCTCCATTCCGCTCTTTTTCTCTAATGAGGAAACAAACCTTAAAAGCACAAACAGTCATACAGCCATAAAAATTAATGTATGGCCACCTCAGAATGGAAATCCAACATGGCACCTTTTCTTCATGTTTCTAAATGGTCCCTTTGTTGTGCATCCCTCTGAGGTCTTTCATTGAGATGTTGTCTTTTGCAGCTTTCCCTGAAAGCTTCTCTTCTGACCTACATTGTCCAATATCTCTTTGCTCCCAGTCTCCTGGTTATATTATGCTCCTGAGATGATTGTCTATAAGCTAGATTAGGCATTCCTCTCTCTCACCACTCACCTCAGATAACCCACGTGTTTTTACTCCAGGACTTCTAATTTTTTTTTTTTTCTTTTTCTTTGGGAAGTCTCTAGTCCAAAGGACTTCGGATCTTAACCATAATCATGTGCTGTCTTACACTACAATGTTCAACACTATTACTGTTAACTTAAGATTTTTTAATGACCTTGAAACAGTGTTTCATGTCCAAATAGAAAAACTGTACAAACGCTCATTTTCCAAAAGTAAGGTACCTTGGTTTTACTTCACTGCTAGCTACTTTATTATCAATGTGAAAGAAAAAAAATAGGATAAATTTCTCCCAGTATAAAATACAGAGCTAAGACAAGAACATTTCATTGGCTTTGATTTCCCTAGGGTGCACCTCTAAAGTAATTTACTTCCTATTCAAGTAATTTGTAAGTCAGAAATAAGATCTTATTCAATCTTTAGTTTTGCCTTTTTTTTTCCCTGAATGAAAGAAATATATAAAACTTTTTCACCTGGCAAGGTGTGACTACTTTTGTTTTCTTTACCAATTACACAATCTATATAATTGTTACTGAAAAGGATTATTTAAAGTAAATTATTTGTCCAGACATGAGAATAAGCAAAATCATTTTGAAATATTATTAAATGCATATTAATGAAAAGTTTGAATTTCCTATCATGTATTACTAAATAAAGTATCTGCATTGTTAGAAAAAAACATATAATGTCATAAATAAGAGTTTGGCTCAAATTGTTGCCCTTCAATTAAAGTCACTTTATTGTTACTGAAATTGGTTCTTTAGTTTGCGTTTCTAATTTTCCTTTTTTTTTTTCTTTTCTCCCTTTTTGCCAAAAAAAAAAAAAAAAAAAAAAAATTTAGCTCCTAGTCAGACTGTTACTCTGGTGACACAACCTGTGGTTGCCAAGGAAACTGCCATCTCCAAACTAGAAATGCCATCTTCCTTGCTGTTGGAGGTACCTGCTCTGGCAGATTTCAACCGGGCTTGGACAGAACTTACTGACTGGCTTTCTCTGCTTGATCAAGTTATAAAATCACAGAGGGTGATGGTGGGTGATCTTGAAGACATCAACGAGATGATCATCAAGCAGAAGGTACGGGGAAAAAAGATAAAAATTGGAAGAGGTTTTTCTTTAAAGGAAAGATTTTTCACTGATCAGTTCACTCTCCTAGACCATTTTCCACCAGTTTTAAGGCAGCTTTTCTCTGTCAGTAAGCACACTACTCTGTACTCTATTCAATCTAAGTATGATCAAGGATATGAATCAAAGCAATCACCTACAGTAGTCATAAATTTAAAAAAAATTTTTAAATGCAAGGGAAAAAAAGCATAAGTCTTATAAGTATAGTTCACTTAGTTAATCTCATAAAGGACTAGTATTTTAAAAATCTATTTAATACCAAATAAGTAGCCAAATTAAGCTATTTACATTTAAACTGTTTGTGTTGGCACTATGCAGCCATAATGTATTGCAGAATCAAATATAATAATCTGGGAATTGGTTATTATCTACTCCTCTGAGTTATCTGTGCCAATTTTCCTCCTCCAATGATAAGAATAATTAGGAGTTAGCTATAAATTAAAAAAAGAAAAGTAACAATACATAAGATACTTTAAAATGCCCTAGATCTTAAAATTGACATTTATGCACACCATATTCAAATAAACATGTTTTTCATACAAATACTGCATTTGTCAGCCTCATTAAAATCCATTTGGTAAAATTATGACTTCAGCTAGAAACATAAGCATACATTGGTTTACCTAGGTAGAATTAATATACTATGCAATTGTCCCTCGGTATCCTTGATTGGTTCCAGAAACCACTCGGATACCAAAATCCATGGATGCTCAATTTCCTTATATAAAATGGTGTAGTTTTTGCATATAACCTGCACATATCCTCCTGTATACTTTGTCATCTCTAAATTACTTATAATACCTAATACAGTGTAAATACTGTGCAATTAGTTGTTGTACTATATTGTTGAGGGAATAATGACAAGAAAAAGAGTATGTACGTGTTCAGTACAGGCGCAACCATCATAGGCCTAACTACATTTTCAATCCACGTTTGGTTGAACCCTCTGTGAACCTTCTTGTGAGGATATGGAGGGCTGTTGATCCCCTTGTGAGGATATGGAGAGCTGACTGTATATCTTTTATATTTTTTAATGGATCAGAAAAGTAACCGAAAGTTATATACACTATAATTATTTCACTTGTAAAAGTTTGTTTTCAAGACTTTCTAAAGAAATAGTAAATTGTTCTGAATGTTTTTAGATGTTACAGAATTACCTTTTGAAAAACAAAGAGTGAAGCAGACAAAGGGGTATTTCTTTTGAAATCAACGTCAGCAATTCAATAGAAGTGAAAATAATTTGATAGTAAACAACCTGCTTTTAAAGTACGTTGAGCTCAAACGTAGAGGACTTGAAATCAGTGGCCTTTCTTTGTCATTTGCAAATTACAAAATTGTGGTCAATTCATCCTCTGGATCTTGGTTTCTTTTTCTGGGTGTAGAGCACACAGAATACACATTCACATTCATCATAGTGATGGATATGTGTGTATATAAAAATATGTAAATATTTTATATATATGAAATATTTATAGCCATGTTTTTTGGAAAAAGCAACTGAGGCTCCTAAGTGTCACACTACCAGTTAGTAGCAGATCAAGAATTCAAATCCAAGTCTGTTTGATTCCCAAGTCTGTGTTCTTACTTACTACAAATACTGCCTACAAACAATAACTGTAACTGAGTTACCATTTAGTCATGTATATGTATGTGTAGTCTATGTCAGACATTATGCTGAGCATTTTATACTTGACGTGTCCTGATACACACAGAAACAAGACGTACATTTTTTCACAATATTATTATTGAGTTATATTAATACTCTTGTTTACCAAAAGAGGCAATATGTTACAATTTTTAAAGCATGAGCTTTGCGATAAGATTCTCTGGGTTCACAGCTTGGCTTTGTTACTACAGTTGCATGACTTTTGGTAAGTTTTTCAGCCTCCCTGAACCTGAGTTCATCTATCTGTAAAGTGTGGATAATTATACTATCTGCCTTGCAGGTTGTCATGAGGATTAAATTAGATAGTACATAAAAAATGTTTCCACATTTCATTGCTTACTGTGAGTATTCAACAAATGTTAGTAATTAATATTAGGTTCTACAGCAAACTCTTGAAATCCTTCTACTCATGGCATTTGTATGGTACAAACCATATGTCACATAATAATATTATATGAGAACGAGAGCTTGTTTCCACATCTGAACCCTATTCTGCCATTGATATTATAGCCTCATGTAGGAGTCACTTGATATTAGAGTGAGAAAGAAAATCTACACTCTCTTGTGAGTGGTTGTAAGCCTAGACTTTAGGGAAGTCATTGATATGCTCAGTTGCCTTCAGAGTTCTATACATAAATTTGTCTTTCTCAGAGAGGACTACTAACCTGATTTCCCATCACAGAGATAGTCCTTACATACAGGTCCAAAATTACTTTAAAGGAGAAGTTCAAGAGACATGGCTGGGGCCATAGAAAATCAGAAACTATAAAATTTTAAAAAATAAATTTTATAATATTTATAAATATGCATTTGTAAAGTTTATATATAATAGGAGATATATATGTGCATATATACATATGCATATATATGTATATAATCCAGTTTCCCTTTTTTTGTTAAATAGTGGGGATGTTTTGCCTGCTTCTTCTTCTCATATTAAAAAATAATTTATAAAGGCATTGTTAGTTTTGTCTTTTATAGCTTTAATCACTACATAGTCAGTAAAATGGTCCTAAATGATCATTAAGCAAATGTGTGTGCATGGGTTTAGGGGACAAGAAGGAGAGATAAGATTGGGAATGATTTCATTATACTATCAGGAAATAAGTATTTCCTTTATGTGAAGTTTTAAATAAAGCAATCCCAACTTTTTTATTTCATGTGTAATAAAGTAGACAGTGTTCTGAAAGGGCCATATAAACTATAAAAACTCTATCAACACCTATTTATTCATTTATTATTTTAATAAACTTTCATTGAGCAGCTAGTAAGTGTCTGGGAAATATTAAGTTGGACAAGATAGGAATGTACAGGTTAAAAAGTCAAAGGAAAAAAAACAATAACATTATGAGAGAAATTTTAGAATAATAGCTAGCACATATTTAGCACTAATGATATGCCAGTCACTGATCTAAGTTCTTCACGTGTATTACTTCACGCTCACAACAGCACTGTGAGATAGATACTAAGGTACAATAAGGTTAAATAACCTGTCCAAGGACAAGAAGGAAAGAGACAGTGATGGGGTTTGGACCCAAGCAGTCTGATTTCAGAGTACCCACCCTTAAACATCATGGTTTTCTACTTCCTTGGGCATGTTTGAGTAATGCTCTAGGGACTTACTTCAATAAAAACTAAGCCAAGAAAGAGAACAGGTGATACAAAGAGCTTCCTGAAGAAGATAAAACTTAAGTCAAGCATTAAAAAACAAGATAGAATGAACCAGCTAGATAAAATGAGAAGGGCAATCCAGGCACAGGGAACAGACTGTGCTTTTCACTGAGGTGGCAAACAACATTGTATGTAATAGGAAATGTGATTCCATATGGCTGATATTAAGGATATATGATGAGGAAGAAATTGATGAGGTTGAACAGAGAGAAGTGGGGCTAAATAATGGGGAGTCTTCCTTGCCATACTGGGGAGTTTTGATGATGGTCTATACGCACTGGCAGCCCTTAAAGAGTTTTAAACAGGAAATTAAAATAATCAAATGTAGTTTAATTGTCTGTCAGGTAGGGTTCCCTAGATACAAGCAACAGAAATCATTCTTTGATTAAATCAAGCAGAAAGTAAATTTGCTGGAATTATCATGAAAGCAATGGAGCAGGACTTAGAAAAAAATGGATTTGAGCATGCCTGGGCATCTGGTTAGCAGGAACTGTTCAAGTCTCATTGGGATACTCTCTTTTCTTCATGCTGTATAACTCTGCTCAAAATTTAAAGTCCTGACAGAGAGTCCAGTTGACCCTGCTTGGGTCACATGCTCATCTCTTAGTGAGAGGAGAGCAGAGAACTTTGATTTAAAGCCCTCTTCTTTCAAAGTCCCTCACGATTAAGGAAAATAATTTCCTCCAAGAAATTGGAGTCTGTTTACAATGAAAGATGGAAAGGATGCTGAGCAGCCGATAAACAATAAATGTCCACTGAAGTCAGGCAACAATATGTAGAATAGGATGGAGGACAAAGCAAATAAAGAAGCAGATTTGCAGGAGGTAATTATCATGATCTAAGTAACAGGTTCATTTACTTCAACTTTGCAGCATGAAGACCTGAAATAAAGGCCATTTGTAACATCAGTACCCTAAATACAAGTGTGTTTTACCTTTATACATACAACAGTTGGTTCTCAATAAATGTAGACTGCTTGATGGATAATGTGAATGAAATGCGATAAGGAAGCTCCATTTTAACAGAGATTGGAGTTTGGGGATTATAACTGTAACTGCAAAGCAGCAGAAGTTAGGTAAGATGACATGACAAGACATTTTATGACTCAAGGAGAAGTTAGTTTTGAATTTGTGAGATTCGAATCAAACCTTAGCCATGTAATAATTGAAATATTGACCCAGAAAAGGTATAAGGACATGGCATATGAATAAGCTAGCCTTTTAGTAGCTCAAGAGTTTGAATTTAAAAGTTATATATTTGGAAAAATGCTTCTGTTCTCCTTTAGCATAAGTTGTTTAAATTCTTATTTTAGAAAATGGGAGGCTGTTACCATTTTGAAATGCAAATAATTTTTACTAAGTAAATCATATTAAGCAATAGAAAATGGAAGTTAAAATTACAACTTTATTTTTAAAAAAATATTTTAAAATATACTCATTTTAAAAATTAAGCAGCTCTATTGCTTAATTTTAGAATGTAGAAAATATACCATTATCTTTTAGAAGCATAGAGATGTGAGATATGCAAATTAAGCCTTTAAAAGTAAAACATACATGAAGCTCGAAGTTTGTTTTTTAGAATTGTGAATTAGGCCGGCCCGGTGGCGCACTGGATA